GCGCTGTTTGGATATATTGAGCGCTCAGATCCAAGCCATCTGGGGATAGGTTGAATGTGGGGGTTCTGTTCAGTATGATAGGAATTATGTATTTTTGTGTATTTTTGCTGTTGTTGTGAATAGAGAAATTTTTTGTACCTGGAGATAGTTGGCTTACCACACCCAGTTAAGCCAATTATCTCCAGGATAGAGGACTCTGTGGAACTGGTTTTGGCTGGCAAGCCATGCTTCAGTGGTCACAAAGGACTTTGACCTGACTTTTAAACCAATGGAAGGAATTGTTTTATTTTTTAGTATGTTTGTATTTGGAGTTATGAATATTTTTGTATTTGGAGTATGCTGATTCTGAAAATGTATGTGAATGTGATGTATACTTTTGGAGTTGTGAATATTGTGCAAAACTGTGTATTTTCCTGCCTGTGATAATTAAGTTAGCCCATTGTGTTCAGTAATTATATCACAGGCAGAAGGGAGGATTTTGTGTGGGAGTCTCTGAGTGTATTGTATGTATTGATTGGTTGCACTTCAAAACCCTGTGCGCGGTACTAAGTTCTGTAAAATGGGCATAAAAGCAGAGTGTTTGATTAAATGCTTCAGTTTTACTTCACACTCAATTTGGAGTGCCGTCTCTTATTGGGGGGAATCTGCTACAAGGGATTGCTATGCTTTGCATATTCCCTTGCTATAATCACTCCTAAGCTCTTTTAAGAGCTTGTTCCTGCCTTGCTCTCTGGAGGAGTCTACGGTGGTTATGGTGTTGGTTGGAGTGCTTGGAGCCCTCAAGAGGCGCTAGGAGCATCCATCAATGGAGGTACCCAGTCGGGGTGCCCGTCGATCCGTTACAGACTGTAAGGAGACTATGTGTGAGACTGTGAATGGTGCCCATCCTCCCCACACATAATAACATATTTTTTTGCAGTACCCCCCTCCTGCTTACCTTTTGGGCAGAAAAGGGCAATATTCAACTTTCATAGTGGCCCTGCTGGCTCTCTCCAGCATTTTTAGCTGTACGTCTGCAGCACCTGAAGGCTCTCTTCTGGTGTCCGTACAGGAGGGTGACTTGGCAGATATCTGCCAATGTTCTCTCCTGGTCAGAGACCGTAAGGGAGCATTCAATGGTCAAGCTTGGTGTAGACATATAATGAGAGCATTGTAGGGCCAGGCAGGGAGATCTATTGGTTGTAAGAAAAAAGTACATGTAAACTTTTGTCAGTTTGTGCTGGCACTGGATATCCTGTTATTTTGTACTTTCTTTGTATGTATTGATGATCTGGCTATAGTCCAGAATCTGGAATGGCATTGAAATATGTAATAACATCAAGGGACAGCCTTATCTTAAAGAGGCACTATAATCACCAGAACGTTGAGGGCGCAGCACTGTCTTTCGCTCTATGGTAGGCTGTGATTTAAAGGGACACTGCAGCCACCTGGACAACTACAGCTTATTGTATTTGTTCTGGTGAGCAGAATCATTCCCTTCAAGCATTTTGCTGTAAACACTGTCTTTTCAAAGAAAATGCAGTGTTTACATTGCAGGCTTGGGATACCTCTACTGGCTACTCCTCATATGGCTGTTAGAGGTGCATCCTGGGGCAGTGCTGCAGTGTGAGCAGCACTGCTATTCAGTGTCTCCGCCCTCTGCATTGATTCAATACATATCTATGAGGAGATGCTGATTGACCACTGCTGTGTTTGGTTTGTGTTGGCTCTGCCCCTGATCTGCCTCCTTGACAGTCTCAGCCAATCCTATGGGAAAGCATTGTGATTGTTTCAGAGAATCACTTCTGAGAGACAACAGCTGCAGACTTGAATAAAGTAAGATTTGCTATATTTAGGGGGGCAAAGAGAGGCTACGGGGGGCTAGATTGTGGTTTTAACACTGTAGGGTCAAGAATAAATGTTTATGTTCTTGTCCCTATCGTGTTCCTTTAATCTAACAAATATGTGTTGCTATACCAGTGCTACACTGGTGCCAGCATCTATATAGTTCTTGTTTTTGTCTTCCAGACATTAGAGTTATTCTCTGTCTTTATCCATAAAAGGAAGGATGGTGATTGATTGATTGGCAATGAGCTACTGACTGGTATAACATTATTAGAGCATCCAGTGTCAGTGGTGTTTTTGTAATGCCTTCCAGGGCTAATGGTAGGTGCTCTATCTTTAATGGTAGGGACAATACACTAAATTAGGATCAGTTTTACACAATATACATTTTACAGGAACTTCTAAGAAATTGACATTGGTTTGATGGTTTGATGAAGATTTCCAGAAAAAGGAAAATATTAGAGATATTAGATGTTTCTCATTTCTCCTTCACTTCTCCTTCACATTGCAACACTTTTGCTAGATAGTTACTGTAACGGATCCCCTATACTCAAACTTAGAATATCCGTGCAGAATCTCCCGAAATCCAAGTGTAGCAGAAGGTGTAGTGAATTATAGCTCCCAATCCCCCAAACATGAGCCAAGACTTCATGAAGGGGTAAAACGATCTGTTTAATAGTGGCCACAGCTTGGCCTTTTATGCAGGTCCTCCAGAAAGGGATACTCCCACATGGACCTTGTGGAGGACTGGTACACAATTTACAGTAGCCAATCAAAATACAATACAATGTAAAACACTCCCACAGAAACAGTAAAATCCCTCCTCTTTATCCTGGAGATAATTGGGTTAAGTGTCCATTGTAAACTTAATTACCTCCAGAAAATATTTCTAAGTTATAAATGTAACAAAATACATTAAAATACATAACTCATATTTCACATAACTGATTCCCCATATTCAACATATCCCCAGATAGATTGGATCTGAGCGCTCAATATATGCGAAAAGCACTCAGATCCTATGAACACTATCAAATCGCCATGGAGTTAAAGGTTTTCACCGACCGTTCGGCATATATCTGTCCAGAATTCCATGGCTTCTAGCTATCAGGGTCGGTCTAGTTCATGAGTTCTTAATGTACCGAACGACGTGGCGTTCATATGAATAGAAACGAAGAGATGGACGTTTGTAAGTCCCAGCGGTATTTGTGTGAAACAGTGACTGAAAACAGTTCCATGCGGTCGACGACCAAACACCGCTGGGTGTTCGAGAATTTAAGATAGCCACCGCCACGTGTTTGTTCATACGAACGGCGACCACCCAGCCATTCATCAATTAGTTGAAGGTTAACCGCAGCTTTTGGGAGGTTAACAGGCTGCACTCCCATTGCGTGTGGTCCGGCTGTTCGTTAGTTTGTTCGGTAAATGAAAAAGGGAATAAAAGAAGGCTAAATGCACTGGTATGCATAAAACAGGGGTTTTGTCACAGTTACAATCACTAAATATCATATTTTAAATTCTGTTTTCAAAACATGTTTCTGTCTTTCCTGTATTTTTCGTTTTACTGCTTTTATGCATTGCTTGTTTTGTTTATTTTAGTCTAGTTACTTATCTCTAGTTGATGACACTATATACAAAGTCTGTTTCTCATTAATGCAATGCAGGAGCTTCCAATCTTTGTACTTTGCACTGGCAAACATTATATGTCAGGTATATTTTCCCGGTCTTTCATCTCACTAATTGTATCTTCATCCACTAATTGTACCTTCATCCACTAATTGTTATGTGTTTTAGCTTCAAATTGTCTTGATGCTCCATCTATTCTTTACTATGAACTTTTTAAATGAGCTGATAGGAATATTTTAGTTTTGAGATGCCCTCCTTTTGTTTTATTCGCACATTATATAGATTAGTAGCTCATGCCTCATCAGCAACCACCGAAATAGACAATTCACTAAAATGCAACAAATAAATTAATCAATAGAGTAAAAGCTGTGCAAAATCAAAGAGCTACATTTGAATTCTGATTCACGGTTAATCCCTGGACTTTGCAGCATTTGCATTGAGTTTCATTATTTCTCATGGTGGTTTGTCTAATCCCTTATACAACAGGGCTTAGCAAAGGTTTTTACCACGGGTGTAAGATTAATATAGAAAGCTGAGCTAAAACTCACTGAAACCACTTCTGTGTTTCTAAATTACATATATTGATTTTTTTTTTGTTTTGGGAAAAACTATTCACTTTTTTATCTAGCTGTGCAGCCACGCTGGGTCAGACTCTTCTGTTATCTGACCGACTCCTGCTCAATGTAACTTGCCTGTATTGACTATTTGACCAGCCCATCATTGCTCTCCATATCTCTCTTTCCATATTCTCCTCCTCATTCCATTGATTTCCTTGCCCCTCTTCATTGCTCACTATTTACCCCCCATGCTCTCGTCCTTTCATTTCCATTGATTACAATACATCTCCTTCTTTCTGTACCATTACTCTTAACATTTTTTATTCTCAAACCTTTTCAATGGTCTTATTATCTCTCTTCCCTTCTTTCCAGTTTCTCAGCCATCTCTCCCATTGCTTCCTCAATACCTCCTTTTTTAGCTCTGTTTCTTTTGCACTGCTCTCCTCTTTTTTTCTTTTTTCTCTCTTTTCTAATCCACCCACTAACTCTATTCCATGCTCTTCATATATCTCCCATGCATATTCCTTTTTTGTTGTGTTCCTGATTTCTGCTGCTCTCCCTATCTTTTTTCCTTTGTTTTCCGTCTGTATGCATTATTTCCATGCTCCAAGTCCTCTGAAACGGTTAATTTTTTTTAGTTTTCACTCTGCTACAGGATTCAAAAATGTTTCCAATAAAACAAGAATAATTTATTTTAGCGCTGGTTTAACAAGTGCGTTTAGAGGGGGAAAGTGAGTCCCCCGTATGTACGTAACTTGATCTTTCAGTGTTTAATTAATTAGTTAGCTCAGTTTATACAGCCGCATTTATCTGTCTCCTTTCGTTCTGTTCTTTTATTTGTCTCATTTGGTTTTGTCTCCGTTTCAGAGCCCTGCCTTCCATGATGCAATGGGTCCGGGCGCAAAAGCCAGGAGAAAGTGGAATCAACATTGTCACGGCAGATTTTGTGGAACTTGGCGACTTCATCAGCACTGTCATTAAGCTCAACTATCTCTTGGAGGAAGAGGACAGCACAACTTGATAATGCAGGATTCGTTCTGGGAAATCAAATGACATGCTGCAGTGTAATTGTATTAGTAATGTAATATTGTAAAACACAGAACTCTTCCTATCAGTTTTGAATCTCTGAGTTGCTTGAGTCTTGTAGATAGAGGGCTAATTGGGATAGGTGAAACATTTTAGCTTTCAAATTGATTCTTCATTTACCACCTGGAAATCGAACACAATGTTAACAAGAGCAGAAGCAGGTGCTTTGAATCTGCTCTTTTATTTTTGAAAAAAAAAGAACATTATAACCAAAGCATATCATGTATTTAGTATTATCATTATTTTATTATTTATATAGCGCCAGCAAATTCCGTAGCGCTGTAAGTAGGAATATTTAGTTGCATTGGTGGATATTCGATTTAAAAATCTATATTTATTTTGAATGATGGTATGGTTAACCCCAAGCTCTACTGAGAACTCATTTTTTTTTACAAATGGCAGAGGTCTTTTTTACTTTAAAAATTTGTGCTTTATGTGCACGTCACTACAATTTTGAATTGATTTTATTGTTTCACATTGTTATTTCAAGCAGGAACTACCGTACAAGTGGGTACAATTAAGATTGTGTATTAAGAAAGGATGTACATACTTATCATCTCAGTCATTAGGTTAATGATTCATACAATAATAACATATAATACAATACAGATGGACAGATGTGTTTCTCTCATGTGTCAGTATTTGAATGCAATCACAATAAAAAAAATTATTGATTTGATACTATTTAACTATTCAAGGACAATGATGAGCTGTTAAATATATTGTTTAAACATGGCAATAAGGTTAACCAACTGGCTGATAACCCTCATCTGATTTGCTAAAAAGTCACACTGATAGGTACTTTGTGTTCCCTTTAAGCACTAGTTTGTTAGCACAGCAGCATTGAAGAAAACTTCAATTTTGGAATAGTCACATAGCAAAACATACAAACAAAGTGATCAATGCTTCTGCAGTGTGGTGGATATTTACTTTTTTTTTTTTAAAGGGACACTGTAGGCACCCAGACCACTTCATCTCATTGAAGTGGTCTGGGTACAATGTCCCATGTCCCTTAACCCTCATCTGAGAAACTGCAATAATTACCTCTGAGGGTTAACTCCACCTCTAGTGGTTGTCTACCAGACAGCCACTAGAGGGACTTCCGGAATCAAAACGGCCCTTTGGTTCATTATATGACGCTGGACACCTCACGCTCTGCATGAGGACCACCAGTGTCAGATTTTCCCCATAGGAAAGCATTGACGGGCAGGCACATTAGGTCTCCCATGCCGGCTGGCATTTGCTGGGAAGGAGCGTGGGCGGAGTCTGACTCAGCACAGAGGGACATCAGCGCTTGATTCAGGTAAGTGACTGAAGGGATTTTAACCCCTTCAGCACCGTGAGAGTGGGGCACTACAGAAGCCTATAGTGCCAGGAAAACAAACCCGTTTAGAATCCCTTTAAATGAACACTCCAAGTATCCTATCCTGAGCTCTGCAATGTGAGTCTCTGACAGTGAGCTTTTTGACTCTCTGGCTGATGGTAGTGGAGGCAAGGAGGGGTGTCTGATACACCCCAAGTAAGAAATCAAACCATTCTAAAACAGTTTGATTACTTAGTATGGGGAGTGTAAGGCACTATTGGTACTATATCCACTACAGCATGCTTGGAGTTATTCTTTAATCTTTCATTGGTTGACTCTACAAAAATACTCAAAGAGTGCTCGTTGGTCTCAACATTCACATTAAGAATGACTGTAACTTTCATTAGTCATTATTTGCAAGTTTAAGGTATTAAAATAGAGCTAGTATGACACGTGAGAATTTTATTGTCTGTTTGCTGGATTGTGGGAGTTTTTTTCTTCTCATCTTTACATTTTGGCAAATTAAGCTAAAGGTTTTAGCTGTTTACCTACCACAGCCTGGCAAATTTATGCATCCACCAGGACAGTTGATACTCTCATTAGTCACAAAACAGACCCGTGATTTCTAGAACCATCAGCAATTTTTTCATATATTCTTGTTTCCTATACAGCACAGAAGCAGGTTGGTTTATTTTATCGCTAGTCATACATCTCCAAATGATTTAGCGATGGAAACATATTCATAATGTCACCACCTGCTGTTTGTAATTGATAAGGACATGTCAGACTTGACTAACCCCAGGCGTCTTGCAATAGTTTTTCTCTATGAATAGGTCAGAAAAATGTGAATAAGATGAAAATAACATGATTAAAAATCAATAACTTTAAGTTTAGTTCAATGCCTGAAGTTGTAGAAAAAAACAAAAAATTGTTTCCTCACACATTTTATCTTTTCAACACACAATAGTTTTTTTTTCAAAAGACACAACTCGTCTATTTCTCATTCCATCTGCCATCCTCTGCTCCAACATCAATCAATGATCTTAGAGACCACTATTCATCCTTAAGCTAGATATTGAACTATTGTCCTAAACAAACTTTACTTTTGGTGCCTTCTGCCTCCTTCCACAATTGATTGCATTGTATAGATAATGCCTAAATTGCCTTGCTCAAAATAGATAAGAGATACTCATCAAACTAGGTCATTTTCTTGGAGGTCACTCTCATGTCCTAAATTCCCATATGGAGACATTCAAACCATGCTTGATTCTCCCAGCCAAAACCTGAACTCCTATTTAAATCAAGAGACACACATGTTCTCCATAGAAATAAACGTCAAATATTTCAAAGAAAAGACATGTAATGACTCCGCTATACATCAGCTCCTGCTGAATTATTCATGCCTATTAAATTGAGCATGTGGCCGGAGGAAGTTGTGTAGATGTCAAAGAAAAAAAGAACAACATATGTCTTGTTAGTCATGTTTGATGTAATGACTCAAAATTAACTCAAATTAGTTAAAATATACTGGGATAAGAGGAAAAAAACAACAAGAGTTCTGATGTGCACCAGAAAACACAGCATTAACTCTCATAGTGTCCCAGCTACAACCAGAATCATCAACTGCAGGACCCTTCAGTTAACTGAGATAAGTTGTCCATTCTATTCAACCATATGAACATGCTGGACCTCCATCTAGTGTTGGGTTCTATGTATCACACTCTCGACATGCAAAGACTGATGTTGCCACTCAAGTATGTGTTTACTTTTACCAACCTTAGAGACTTATTTCAAGATTTACTACATTCTGCATCCTGCAAATATAGTCCTTGGAAGGTAATTAAAGACAAATCCTTGTATTTGCCATGGGCAGTACAAAAAGTGCCAATTTCAGTGAGAATTTATTAGTAGATGCCAAGTTAACACATAGGAATAAGCTAGTTTTAGGCTCAGTAATGTTTATTACAGAATTGCAAATTCGAGACATGGAACATATGTTTCCAAATCAGAAGACATATATTTTTAATTTTTTTCAATTGATATTAAATAAAAATAAAAAAAGATTAATGCAATTTCATTTTCTCTTGAAAACGCTGCTGCTTTTTTTTTTCTCAATAACTTTATTTCCCAACCACTTGGTTTACATTTGAACTATTTATCTGAGATGACATCACCCAGGATTCCATACTGTTAACCATCAGGCAAATCCTCTTCTATTATTATAGTACTGGAACTTTGTGCATCATGAAAAAGTTAATAAACCAATATTTCCTTAAGGTTTCCCTGACACCTTGTCAAAAAACAAAGCAGTTTAATGACATTTAGTTGCTATTTAACACCTTTGACGTCATCTATCCAATGAAAGATACATATTTGAGGTTACTCACTAAACTAAACAACTAGAGAATTGCAAAGTTTAAGACAAAATACTTGTGATGGTAAAATGGACAAGTTGGAGATATTTTTTTTCACAGTTTAACTGTTTTGGCACAAAATCTACAATGTCTTTACAATTCTACAAAATGTCACTTTAGTAAATAACCTTAATCAAGAACTCTTATCACCGTTGATACTTCTCACTCTTGCCCAAGTTTAATAAAATTTACAAGTATAGGTTGAGCCAAAAGTAGCGTTACCATTTAAAAATAACATATTTTTTTGCTGTTATATAGTTTTTTGTTGGTTTTTTTTTTTAGATCCTTAAAAATGAATCCTGGAACGCCGAACCAAGACCAGTATCACAATTATTTTATGACTAAAAACAATGGAGCGCTGATGTTCAAAGTAAAATTCTATAATTTTTCACACAAAAAAATAAATAAAATATATACTTCAAAAATATATTAATTTTTAAATGGTAAAGTTACTTTTGGCCCACCTTGTACAATGGTCTAAAACATCTATATATGTAACAGGCACCTTATTTCATGAACAACTGTTGTAAACGCTGACTTATGTCAGTTGGTTAGAGAAGTGGTAATATCACTGCCTTAGTTGAAACCAAGGTTAGATGCTGTTCGGACCACCTCACCACTAATCATATAGTCAATAGGTGCGGGCCTCAAATCTCATATTTTGGTCCTTCTTCACCCCTAAATTTCTCCCTTTTATAATTGAATAGTGCTGCGAATGTGTTGAAGCTATGAATGCTAATAATAATAAACATGTGTTTCTGAAAGCCAAAATTTGTATTTCAAACCACCGAAGATTTTTAAAGTTTTGCTGGGGTAGTTAAACAGAAAGTCGGTCTGAGTTTGCAACTGAAATTCGAACTTTAGGTCAAATAAGTGGAAAAATTTTATTGAAATCGCTAATTTTATTTGGGGATATTTGTCAAAGCCAGCTGTTTTGGCCTGCATAAACCTTGTTTCGGGAGGAGAGTGGGTTTGCAGCTATAATTAATCTTGTTAGGAAGTTGCTAAAAGTGACAGTGAACCTTATGCATAGCTTAGAGCAGGGGTGCCCAAAAAGTAGATCCCCAGATGTTCTAGAACTACGGCTACCATTATGCTTTGACTTTAGATGATTTTAGAATGCGTTTAGAATGACAAAGCATCAAGGAAGTTGTAGTTTTAAAACATCTGGGAAGCTACCTTTTGGGTACCCCTGGCTTAGAGTACTTAGAGGATATCTCTGTTTTTAGGGTATTGGTATTTAGTAGGAAACAGTTGCCTTGAGGCGTATTTTCAGAATAATTATATGACATTCGTTGTTAGGGTTATCTAGTGGCAGAATTAATTTGGATTTGATATATTGCCAGTATGATATGAAGGTAGGATCTTTAAAATGATGTGCACTGTGTTTGGAAACAAAAAAAAATTCTTGTTGTTGTATCACTTTACAACACAGCAATGTCACATATCTTCAAGTAAGACTTGACGTAGCATGTTATTATTTAGAACAACCATCCATATTTTTTTTAATTTATACTTTCAACTGCAGGATAAAGTAACTGGTTCTTACTTGTGCCTGTTGATAATTAATATTTATTAATAATAATCCATAATTATTAATAATTAATAATATATAATATAAAAAACACCATTCAAGGAAGCAATTAGGTCAACACAATCATGAAGTGTGCAATTGTCATTGACATCGCTAAACAATACAGCACACTTAGACTTGATCCACAGTCATCCATTACTCAAAGGGCTAAATGAGTGTCCCATAATTTTGTTCAGCTACAAAATCTCCCCCCTCCGACCCTCTATTTTCCATTTAGTTAGAAACGACCACATAAAACATAAAAGTCTCGTTGAAGGAAAGCAGTAACATTAATGAGCACTCCTGTATATATTTAAAAATTATCATACAGGTTAAGATAAAAATCTAGACATTTTGTATATTATACAATATAGTGTATATAAAAGAAAAAAAGTAAAGGTTTATTACCTAAACCAAGAATGTGGATAATTGGCAAGTTTATTTAAAATGTTAGGACAAACTACAAACTATACCATTTGAAAAATAAACTAATTATTCTAATTTTATGTGAAAGGGGTTACATTAATATAACTGTTGTCCTTGAGTAAGATTTTAATGTATTTGTTTATGATTAAAAGAGGAAATTGGGGAGGGCTGACATGTAAATTGAAATAAATTAACCTTATGAATAGGTTGGGAATATGACACTTCAATTTGTAGTTTAATCTTCAATCATATAATCAAGTACCTAATCTAATGCAAGAATTCTCATAAAATTCTCATAAAATGGATTGTGCAGATGTCACCCATATACCTGAATTGGTGTGAATTAGGATTCTGCGGAATTATTAAAGTCTAAAGTGTATTATTCTAATTATTATGAATTAAGGTACCTTTATTCATATTGCAAGGGGTATACCAATTAACCAATTAAACACCATTAAATAGTTAATATAAATAACATTTACTAAATTCCTCTTAAATTTGGAAAAATGTAATCATTTAAAGCAGACTCTAGAACACCTGCAGTAAGGTCTTGCATAATTAGATATACTGTACTTTATATATATTTGATAATGTTCTTTAGATTAATGTATTAAAAGTAAATGCATTCAGCTAGATTTTTTTACTTTGTTTTGCATTCTAATGATATAAATATATAAACGATAGATAGATAGATAGATAGATAGATAGATAGATAGATAGATAAATAGATTTTGTCCTAGTCCATGCTTGGTTAACTCTAAATAGCCTCAGAAAATCTATAACCAGTCCAATAGAACCTGGCAATTGATTTCTTTCTATTGATTTAAACACAATATTCCAATTAAAATGTAATATTCTATATTATTTATGCTTTACCCAGTCTACTCGGAACTGAGGTTTGGAGGAGTACTGGACAAGACGTAGACAGTGAGCCGCTGGGGTTATTAATTCTGTACTTTTTGTCCACAGATCTGGACCCATTTTGAGCCATTTAGGTGACTTATGGATAAAGTCATCATGTCATATTCTACATTCATATTCTATTATTTTACAACTATAGTAGAGGTATGGGAAATAAAGTAAAATGTAGACATCCACACCTCTTTACCATACAAAAAAAATAGAACATATTGTTAAAAAAAACAACACAAAAAACACAAATCAGATATATTTTTTAATGTTTTGTTTTCAGTGCAGGTGCATTATCAGTGTCACTGTAAGTGTAAATCTTAGGTAATTCTAGGTACATACATGACATACCATTGCTTTGGTTGCACAGTAGGGAGTTAACTCCCCGATAATATCTGTACTATATATGATTTAGGATTGACCAACAGGTGAATTATTTGCCCCCATTATACCCGGCAACCCCCCTGTAACCCCCCTGTAAGCTAGAAATTGCAAAATTAATGAAGAATGTCAATTTATGGCAAACACTGGGTTGAGTGTTTTACGTGCATGCTATACAGAAAATAATTTCTGGTCCATATAATGACATAGTAATATATTCAGATACACTTCATCATAAAATCTTTATAAAAATGATTTTAGGTCAAACGATTCACAAATAAATTAACATATTTTTATAAGGGAGTGTGATTTTGATCAAGGGAAGAATGACTGCATTCAATGTTTCGATGTATCTGATGACAGTTGTGTGAAGCATACAGTTATCTGTGTTAACGGAATGTCAATCTGGACATAATGTCTACATACTAAGAAGAGCGTGAAGATTAGCTTGAGTCAGACAATGACTCACCCTTTGAATAGGTTTAATTTAACAATTCCTCCAATTGATTCAGATTTCTTTTTCTTACAAAATGACATAAAGGGCATTGAGCACATGAGCTCAAAATTAAAGTACAAAACGTACCTATTTAAATATCATAGTGATCTTGTTTCATATTATGATTTTGTGTATTAGGCTATTAGGCTTCCTTTGAATAAATCCTTCTTACAATAGGCTTTATAGCTATTTGAAAAAAAAATGTCTTGTGTTAGATTTTCTAAGACATCAGTACAATAAATAGATGGGGTGCATTTGTGAGCCATTTCAAAAAGGCAGAGAACATAAACTCTTATGTAAAATAGGGAATCAAGCTTCATACTGGTATTTTTATTCTGCATATTTTCATAATGAAGTAGACATGCTTATTCCTGTATGCAGAGTAAAATTTTATTCAGTATGCAATCCTCTTACATAGTTCAAGTGTGATATTATTGGAACAAAACAGGCCTCAAAGAGCTTTTATCAATCCTGAAAAAACGGTGGCATTTCAACTCTACCAAGACTTGATAAAAAGCTCTTCATAAGCTGAAACATCGCTGTTTTACTCCAATTAAGCATTAATAAGAGAACACATTTATTTATTTATTTATATATAAAATATTTTAACAGGAAAGATACATTGAGATTTCTCTCGTTTTCAAGTATGTCCTGGACCCACTAATACTGTAACGTTAAAATAGGGTACAATATTGAAAACATAAAATAATATTAATACACAACAAATATATACATTTAACATAGAACAGGTAAGAAATATAATAAACTGTAATTACAGGTGTGTTCTGTTTTGAGATATGTTGAAAGGGATCTCTTAAAGGATTTTAGGCTTGGGGTAGATTTGAAAGTGTCTGTGAGGTTGTTCCATAATTGCAGTGCTCTGTAGGAGAAGGAGGATCGGGCTGCTTTCTTTTTGTATTGAGGTAGACTAAATAAAGTGCTGGTACTGGATCGGAGGTTATTGGAGGTGGGAACCGCTAAAGGAGAGCATTCTGCTCAGGTAGGGTGGGACCTTTCTAGAAAAGCTCTTAAACACAAGGCTGGAAAGATGAAGTGTGCATCTGTTTAGCACCAGTTTAGCTCTTTTAGCACATTAACTTGATCGTGTTTTGTTTGTTGCAACATACTTTCTTGTCATTTACTATTTTCATTTTCAAAATGGAAAAAAAATAAAGAAAATTATATATGCAATGTACAGTGTGCATATCTTGAATATGGAACTAGGACAGAACATTTTTTATTGCAGTGTCCTGCAAAATAAACCAAATCCCTTCAATATAGGGGTTGAGAGTGAAGGGATTATATTAACATTTTACCCATCACCATCATTTATAATTTCTTCAATTTAATCCAGGACAAATCTAACACACTCATAAATGTTATTTAATGTGTCAATTGCCCTAGCAAATTCTTACTAAATCTTTTATTCATTTAACAAATTGAACTAGAGGTAACTTTAAAAACATTAAATATTTTCAAAGGAAACTATGTTTTTTCCCATTTTGACTTCTGTTATAAAATCTTAAAAACCTTAATTTTGTAAATCATTTTGAAGCCAAGTGTTTCACATAAAATTAGCTTCATGAGCAGTTTCAATATTCTGTAAAATACATTATTCAAAATCATTAACAGTAGCTAAAGACACATTTTCAATTCAATTCAAAACTGATTTATGCTACGTGACAGCAATTTTTTAATGTGCTCAACAAACTATATGCTATTGTTAAAAGCTTTAAGTTGTATTTTTATGGTGTATGCAGAAAAATAAAATATGCAGTCTTAATAAGGTGCTTCAAGATAACACACATATTAATTATCCTCCTGACTCTGCTTTTTAATTAAATTAGCATAATAACAGTTATTGCGAAATAGCAGCCTTGTTACTCAAAATACAAATATTAGCTTTTTAATGTGTTCTTTATAGTTTCTTTTTAATGGAATTTATTTTATTTATTTATTTATTTATTGCAATAGAGATTGTGGGTAAATGAACTTGCCTTAACTTGGAAGAAAAGCAGGAAATAAATCAGTTTTCTGAAAATAAAAAGTCTATAAATAAAATTATATTTTTTATTTATTTTTATTATTATTGTTCATTTGTTAATGTATGTTGGGTTAATCCTTTGCATGAGAGAGGTATTGAACTTCCATTTCCTCTAAATGTAACATTTTATTATTCTAAATTAAAATTTATGCGTAATTTTTTTTTTTTTTTTTTTGCATCTTTAGTATGTAAAGCTTTCTGTTTTATATTTGTATAGAATAATGCAAGCTTTTTGTATTTATGTTATCCATTGTGCCAAATAGATGAACATAATTCTACATGAATATATTTCCCCAGAACATTTTAAATTATGTTTTGCATATCAAATTTACAGTTTTGGTATTTAAGTTTAATTGTAGATATTCTTTTTGTTTTATAACAAATATCTGCAATTCTGGTGTAGTGTGGAATCTTTTGTGTTTGTCAGTTTGGAAAGTTGAACAAATCAGTTTCTAGTGATTCATTTTGTGATCCATGACATTTTTGTTCTCAACTGGGTAATTCTCATGGTTTAAAACATGGGTGTTTAGATTCTATTGATATTGTGGTTTTATGATGTTGTCTATCATTGAAAGTATAAAAGCCTTCAAACCAACTTTCTTGAACTTCTCAATAGCCATCTTGATTTTAATGGTACTATTCAAATTTGTGACAAAACATCCCTTGTCCTGATTTAGAGATTTTCTCCTCTTCTTATTTAGCTCATATGTTCCCCAGATGCTTGCTGGTAAGAGACATAGTAAATTGTTTAAATGGCCACCCAATGCAGCAAAACACATGCATGGTGCCACAACCTGCAAATTTGTTACCATACATGCACAGCACTAAACAAAAAATGTTAAACCAAACTGGTCAACTGCCAGATATGGCGCATGGAGAGTGCCTATGGTGCATGCTATCACCTACAGACACCTACCCCCAATAAAGTGCTGTACTTTATTTTCAAATGTTGGAACAATTGATATGGCTGCTCTGTGTGATACGAGCTATTGTGCAAACCCAGATGGAAAACTTTGGTTTGACCTTTCATATGGTAACTAAATATACAAGAAACCTAATTAGAGAGTGCCTTGCATTGATACAAGAAGAGACCCATTTATTCTCAACTATGGTACACCACTTACTAAATTATCACACATGAGTGTGCAAAGCTGTAATATTCCATATACATATGGTGTATCAGTGATGTCAAACTGTTGCCTAAAGCACATATTGAGTATACTTAACTAGTTCCGGCTGCGTACATCTGGAAAGTTTGGTGACTTGTTAAGTTGTTATAGTAAAGCAAGTGATCATTAAGCACCCACTTGTAACCAGCTCACTGATTTGGGTCAGTTGTTAAATTTGGTGGAATCGATGCTCCAGATGTCCCAGCTTGCAATTAGCAGGAGGAGATGTCACATATAATATGTCATTATATAGAGAACACTCATTCTGTATATTATCCTAATATGATGGCATATAAATTATAGCACTCTTTTCCTGAATCCACATACCACATGATGAGGCAAGGTCAATGGGCCACTATACCATTACCCTACACTTCACCTTAAATAGAATATGTGAATGGGAGTACGCATCTCTTCTGGATTTTACAGTGGTTGGTGTCCAAGCTTCCTTACCTTTCCTTACCTTTCAGAAACTTATGGGGAGACAATCACATAATGTGTTACCAGTTTAGCGGAGTCATTTTTTAAAATGTATTTATATATATATACGGGATGATTAAATTATTTTTTTCGCGATCAGTGACACTCTAGAACCAGAACCAGTACAGCTTAATGTCAAACCATTGTTGACTGTATCCTCCATTATTTTATCCGGGGATTTGTCTGGAAGCAGGTATGCCAAGTTTCATTAAATTTACACTTTACAATCTTGCACCTATTGGTTACCCATGATATTATAAAATGTTTAAATGTTTAAACATATTTGACACTTTTTCACTGAGATACAGGATTACCCTGAAACCTAGGAACTGCTACCTAAAAATGCTAACACCCATAATTTATGGTGTATTTTACCATTATTTTGTGTATTGTGTATTTTCCACTGATATTATGCTTTTCATTTAAATTCAATAGGAATATTATAGTAATTTGATCATGTTATTATTATTATTATTCTTGTTATCGCCATTTATATAGCACCAACAGATTCTGTAGCGCTTGACAATATTATGAGAGGGGGGATTTAACTATAAATAGGACAATTACAAGAAAACTTACAGGAACGATAGGTTGAAGAGGACCCTGGTCATACGAGCTTACAGTCTATGTTAATGTAATTGGTCAAAATATCATGTAACTATTATGCAAAAAAATGAATTAAGATATACAGCTTGTGAGAATGGGAAAATATGTGCTGCCATAGAGCTCATTGGCGCTTATCTCCCAGTTTTTTGCGTAAAGAATAATGATTGACAGCTGCATATGTTCTGTTTATCCAGATGCTTTAGGCATTTTGCAATCTTCTATATTAGGCATGTGTTATTTCATTTAAAAAAAAATTGCATAGTAGGCATTAAATGGTTTTGACTCGGGTAGTTGTATATAACCCCAAACATTGGCATAAGCAGAATAAATAAATGGTATGAGACAGCGAATGGTAAAATATGCGGATACATATAATATATGCTGACATATTATATTGGCTATATTCAGTGACTGGTCAAATAAGCATTTATATTATTGTAGCATATTATAAAACCCTAGAATCTAATAACCTCTGGATATTGCTTTTTTTTAGTCAAGAATCCCTACCGACACTTTGTCTGGTTCAGTAAGTGTTGGGCTTTTACTAAAAAAATGTATTTGGATTAGTTTGCATTCAGATGGTTATAAATATAAAACCTATTTTATGAAAGAGTGAGCACAGTAATTTCCATGAGATATTTTAGTAAGATTAATTAACGATAAAAAGATTGTACAGGCCTATTCTGTAGTTTGTGCATTTTTAATCAACTCCCCGTTTTACAAAGGTCAAGTGATGGGTCAGACGTTGATGAAAAATAGAATTCATTAAATCATCAAAAAAAAAAAAACATGAAACATTCTTTTTTATGTGTTTGTTCTCTGACTTACACTGTTCTCATCTAACTCCAAATTTCCGAGCATAGAAGGAATATAATAGCTTTGCAAATTTAAGCTCAACATTTTTTTTGCATTGATATAAAAAGTGACAAGCCTGACATTGCAGATATCTTTGAACTACTTTTCCTTAGACTGACTGCTGAGCATATAGAAAACAGGGTTTTCAAACATCTGCACTGGCAAGTTTAGTCACTGCTGTTATACGACTAGATATTATAAATTAAAAAGCACAATATCACAATTTATTAGTATATTTAATGACAAGGCCGAAGTGTTGAAACAATCTAATTTTTTTAAAGTAACACACTCTAACCATGATACACAAGATGGATAAAGTTAAAGTAATATTGAATTACCCTTTTGATTTTTACCTTGTCTTTTCTAATAGTGGTACACTGTAAGAGTGACAACATTTTGCTAATTTGTTTGTCTTTCTGAGGTATTGTGAAGTGGGGTGCAAATTTTTGTAAATGTTGGTGTGAGTTCACGACTGAGCAGAAGTGTGTGTGTTGGTGAATAAGACTGTGCCTTTAATGTAGGATTCAGTCAATGGTACTGTATATGTAAAAATGGCACCATTGTGTATAGTACATGTGAATTTCTATGACAAGAATGTGCATTAAATGTAAAAATTTGTATTCAGTAAAAGTCTAATAAACTTGGTACTTGTAGCTTTCTGTTGTCAGCGTGTTTGATGCTTAAAAATGCATTCTGGTACGAAACTCCATCTTCTTCCTGTAACACCAATTACACCAATTTCAGGAGCTGTCATTACTGCCAATGTCACCAATGTGGTCTGTGGAAGATCTCTGATTAGATGGATGGTTCACAAATCTTTTGCAGTTTGAGAAAAAATACACAAAGTGAAAACTACACAAAAATATTGCTTTACGTCTCTCAAAATAAAACGAACCAGTGTGATAAAGTTTTTTTTAAATTTTTTTTATTTTACCACTGTTCTTCTAGACTGTATCCTAAAAGATGTTGCTTTCATGGTTGATAAACCTGTTGACTATGAAAAGCATTATTTACTACTGAACATATGAAAAGTTTTATTGTTAAGGTCAACTCGAGTATTGCTGATGCTGAAAACCATTAGTTTGTAATGCTATATGCTAAAACATCTATGATAAATATCTTCTATATGGATTGATAGTATACACTCAGTAACATTGTGGCATAGATGCCGACATAAAAACATATTTGCTCTACCTCAGGCATAAAACTCATTCGTGGCATAAGCAAAGTTTCCAGAATGTGTATCATGACATCTAAGGGGGATATTCCTACCAAGTACATTTTATAGAAAATTATATGTTATAGAATAAAAAAAAGGAAAGTTCAATAAAATCGCCCTGCTGAGCATTGTAAAAGGTTTGGGATTGATCATCCAGAAACATCATTATTTTCTTTTCCGAGCTTCAATGTCATTTCTCTAGAGTCTTGCTCTCATTAATTTCATTTCTTTTAATTTCTCAACCCCACAATTTCCTTTTTCTACCATTCCATGGAGGAAAAAGGTAAACAAATAATGTGTCTATTATGAAAGAGTAGACATCATTAAAATAAATAGAAGAGCCTTAAATTGGACAGAGAAAAGATATCCCTGAAGAATGTGGGAAGTGAATGTCTGGTTGCTATATGTAGCAGTAGACTGGAACTACAACCTGAATTGTGTATCAGAATATTGGTGCCCTAAGGATCCGTGAAACACACTCCAACTCCAGAAGATGACCATCAGTCAGGAGAAGTACAATCTTATTGAGGATTCAATGTAGCCAGCAACTTTGGGCCTACTGTTTGCATGAGAACTTTAATTATGACATTTCTTACCTGGTTGTGGACTAATAGATAACAAGAGTTCTAGATGGTCTAATTGATCAGATGCTGCCAGTGGCAAATAGGACAAGTGAATGACGGGCATAAAGAAAGGATTTATTGATATCCAAAATGCATATCTACTACTTAAGCCCCCCAATCCTTTCCCTGAGAACCTTCAATTGCTCTTTGAACATAGCTTTAGACTCCTGACATAGTACCTTTATGTTCACCTTCATGTAAAGAGTTATATCTTCATTGGAAATGGACTCCACCAGGTCTGCATTCAAAGAGTCAT